GGCCCCTAGGAGTGCCTGGGCGAAGCAGCTGCTTCAAGACAATTCTGAAGCTGACTGCGTGGTGAAGGGAAGCAGGAAGAGGAGGGTGAAGAGCCTGGGAGCTGCTGTGGAGGATGTGGAAATGGCATCATCTTCTCAGAAGATTGGGAAGACGATGGATACGAGAAGGAGGTGGAGGTCTGACACAGATGTGGGAGCTTCATCAGGTAGCGAGGAGTCCATGGTAAAATCAAGGAAGGCATTGCCAGTTATTCGGCCAAAAGGGGGATTTCTTCATCCTGTGGAAGTGAATGCAGGCATCGGAGAGCATCGCCTGGTAGCATCTAGATCTCTAGATGGATCACCAGGCAAATCAGGCAATCGCTTTTATGCCATCACTCTGGAAGACCTACAAATGGCAGCTAAGGGTCTGGCAGGTGGCGATGCAAATGTTGGTTGCAAGCGAGAAGGGTCAACGGATGTACATGGAGAGCATATGACACAAAAGGGTGTCATGATTTTTGGATCCATTATAGGATAGAAAAGTTTCTTCTTTGCCGGTTTGTACTGTGGTAATGAAGTCAGTTTTGTTTTAACAGTAGAAACTCGTTTCAAGTAACATTTCGTCATCCACGTGGTTGGCGCGAGTGCTGGCGAGAAGGAAGTTACGCTGTTTCCATCCATCTGGCTTCCCTCGAGATTTCCGCGTTGTCCCATCCAGTTCTGCAGCCCCACCAACAGTCCATAAGTAGAAAGCGGAGCATAATCATGAAAGGGAAATGATCAAACTGGGGCCGAAGAGTGCCAGAGGGATGACCAAAGTAGGGCCAGAAAATCTCGACCGTAGGATTTTCGACCCCGAGCTGCCCAAGAGGCTAGGCGAAGAAGCCGAGCCGTAAATAAAAGATAAAAGCTATCAGCGCCAAACTTCGTGTCCAACTGATTGAAAAAATGGTTACGACCGCCGTCTACTACTACGCGCACATCGCGTTCTTCTGGAAGTAAATATTGCTGTGTTAATTTGTGAGTCCAAAAACAAATTCATTATGGGTGATAAATAACACTCCCTGATCGGAAACGCGCAGAAAAAAAAAACATATTACCCATTCGGAAATGGATGCGACTAGGGAGGCATCAGCCCTGAACACAACTGAGGTTCCCGTTTTTAGGGTTGATCCATCCCGAAAATGCATCCAGCTTCCCCTTGGGGTTTTAGTTTTTTTGGCTGCCCTAAGAGTTTCTGGCTTGCTAAACGACGCTATTGGGTGGAAGGTGATGAATCAGTAAACATCTCCATGTAAAATGACGCGCGAGATTAAATGCAAACTGTTAACAGACATACGTTCGAATAAATGATATCTCCCTGCAAATACCTTTTAAAGCAGTGGTTTGGTTAGTTCCGGGCCTCTTGGCTCTTCTCCCTAGCACTGTTCGGCCCCTGTATGATCTTCTCCCATCATGAAAAGCGGAAAGCAGAGTATTGGAAACAACGAGCTCTCCACTGTTGTATTTTGTAAATCATCAGTCTCTGACGGTTGCGTCGGAGCTTCAGCCTGAATGAGCGCTTGATTGCGTAATTGTTTCCGTCGCCAGGTGCTGCTGATTCGCTGGTGGGATTATCCATAAACCCTTTGGCGAGATGCTTCTCGCGATTGAGTCACGCTTCGCACTGACTCCTAGCAGCAGCACCATCCCAACCTTATTCAATCGTAAGAAACTCCCGTCTCAGCGGCTTTCGCGCCGCGTATCCAGCATTCCACCACTCGTAGTTAATTCTCTACGTAGTGACCAGGGAACTTCCTCCAACCCGACTCCCGTCGTCCCGGTCCCCGCAATCCTCGGCGCGGCTGTCTCTGATTCCGCGATTGCACCAGCAACCGCGCAACCGTCCGCAACCCTCCACCCAGTCGGGGAAGTTGGCGACATGGATATCAGCGACCAGCACACGGTAACATTGGCGAACATCCGCAGCTCGCTAATTCGCCAAGAGGACAGCATCATATTCTCGCTGATCGAGCGGTCGCAGTTCTGTCGCAATAGACCGGCGTACGACGCGTCAGCCATGCCTGTACCGGGGTTCGAAGGATCGCTGCTGGATTTCGTCATGCGAGAAACGGAAGTGCTCCACGGAAAGGTAACTCCTGCTTAGAGAAGGGATTCCCACTGCTTGCACATTCTCCACCCTTGCTCAATATCCCGGCGTTTCCCCTAACAAGTGCCCGTATCGCAGCTTTATTACGTTCCGCTAAGAGAGCTTCTGTTATAGATGCGCATTCGTAAGTTTGTCGACAATGACACCCTCCATCCGACCATCAGTAGGTCCACGTCGCGTCAGGTTCGTTACCTTGGGTTTGACGGAAGATTGGCCTCCATCCGACACCACCTCCATGTCTGTTATCTGCTGCGTGTTTGTTTGCCACGTTTCACCAGGTTCGGCGCTACACAAGCCCCACGGAACGGCCGTTCTTCCCTGATGCCATTCCGCCGCTTATTCTGCCTCCATTGAACTACCCCAGAGTACGTCGGATGCATGGCATCTCCTTTGACAGCCAATTGTGTGACATGTTATGTCATGTTTCTTCCATATTGATACAGTCATTGCCTTGCTGTATACTTTTGGATAATAATGCATCGTTGGCCCAAATGCAGGTGTTACATGATGCGGCGAGCACCATAAACATCAATGACATTATATGGAAGATGTACTTCGACGATCTATTGCCAGAAATCACACGAGATGGCGATGACTTCAATTACGGCTCAGCTGTCACCATGGACGTACTCTGCCTGCAGGTCAGCTAGTATCTATCTTGTTGGGTTCTTCTTATTTTCTTGCTGAATGTGCAGATCATGCCTCATGGTGAACTTTCTTCATCTTCTTTCACCTTCCTCCCTTATATGTTCTCGCTCACTCCACTTTGCCATCTCTAACCATCAGGCTCTCTCAAAACGAATTCACTTCGGAGCCTTTGTTGCCGAGGCGAAGTTTCAGGAGAGTCCTGATACATATAGACCCCTGATTGAGAGGCAAGACGCAGAGGGGCTGATGCAGCTGCTCACATTCAATGATGTCGAAGCTGCGGTTCAGCGCCGGGTTGAGAGAAAGGCTGCAACTTTTGGACAGGATATTTTCGAGTGTCCAATTGAACCGGCTAAGGGGGTGAATGATGGAGTAGCTACAACTCAACAGCCACAAGGAGGCTTCAAGATTCAACCCGAGGTGGTTGCTAGACTCTATGGGCAATGGATAATGCCATTGACAAAGAAAGTGCAGGTGGAATATCTGCTTAGGCGGCTGGATCCACGTAGCCTCTAGATTTTTGCCATGTTTGGTTGAAGTTTTATGTTTCATTCGATACTACCGTAGGTTTTATTGAGGCGTTTTGATTCTAGTACAGTTTTGCCCTAATTCCCGGAAGCGAACCCTCTTTAAAAGCAAATCCTCGCTGACAGCCTAGCCAACGAAAATTTGGTTCAGACTTTCCCGCCTTGTGCCTTGTTGACGCATGAACCACATCCGCTTGACGATTGGGCTTGGCTATGTGGTGACGTTGGCTTGCCGAATCGCAGCAAGCGTCGTTTGGGACTTTGGGCAAGCCCCCTTCAGGTTCGGCTCTGGTTGAGCACAGGTTTGGGACGCAGCGCTAGCGACCTTCGGCAACTGTCACCGAGACTCTGACTCGACTCTCGCAGTGACCGACCGATTTTCTAGCGACTTTCCGTGTGATCAACGGTGAGCCGTCGATATTCTTTGCTCGCCTCCCCTCATTTACACCTCTGTACTGCCGCCTCCACTACGAGACGCACACCTGTTCTCCAAGCAGCCTTCTCCAAGCTCTGGGTTGGGTGGGTGGATCTCTGGTTATGTGATTCCCTGATTCTGGTTTGGGACTCTAGGCAACAATTGGGAAAACCAAGGCGGCCTCGAGTTTTGGCAAACTCCTCCACGGTTTTCCCCCTAAAAAGTTGCCGCATCGCTCCCCTCGAGGTTTCATCGTTCAGACCCTGACCTTCACGGTTCTCCCTCTGTTTCCGAGTTCCTATGTTCAAGTCGCGGCACCCACTTAGAACCACCCATTTTCCGTTTCCGGGCCGGCAGTGTGAGCAGCCGTGATGTGCCAACGACTTCATGCGTCTTTAAGTGAATTAGTTCACTCACCATCCGCTCCCTAGTGTCCACCCTCCTCCCACTATTCGCCAGAAGTATCAGAAGGGCTTTGCTCTTCGCTCGAGCAGGTTTGTTTCGCGCTTCAATCAAGGAATATGGGTTCCGAATGGGCCTGGTGATATACTCTGGTGATATACTCAAGGCTTCAATATAGACGACACTCATTTTAAGACGCGTTCCGACGCGACCTAGAACACTCCGTCACCCACGCCCGTGTTTCCAATCAAGGATGTCTTTACTACCTAGGTACGTTCTTCGCTTTCAACGGCGTATTTCCATCTCTCATTGTCAGATTATTCTCTGCTGAGCTGGCAACACCACCATGAGCGAAGACGAGCCCAGAGGGGCTCCCCAATCTCCCACGTCAGCAATGAAACGTGCGTCGCATTCCTCAACGTCCGCCTCTGCCACGTGGCACGCATCCGCGAACCGGCACTGCGCGCCGAGTTCGTTCGACACAGAATCCGCAGAGCCCGTCAAGTGTAGCGGTGTCCCCGAGCGGCAACGATCTAGAAACCGCGTTCGCCGTAACAGCAGCTTAAACACCTCGGATCCGTATTCTACGCCCACTAAGAAGAGTACCGCGGGTGTCACTGTGCGGTGGGTGTACCTTCCCTTCGTTCTCGCTGCAGTCATATGCTTCAGTATAGGATTATACGTTCACAGCTCAGCAACGAGTCAAAAGTTAGAAACCGCGGTATTAGACGGACAGTTACAAGTTGATTTCGGGCAAAGGCAGCTCCAGAGCCGAGAGGTGATCGTAAAAGATGTGACTGTAGCGAAGAGAGACTCGACGCTCGTTAAGAAGTTACTGAAGCTGAAGGAAGGGTTGATGGAGCGGCGGGCAGCGCAGATGCAAGGCGCGCTGCGATGGCTCACGGAGGTCTCGGCCAATCTGAGACCGCCGTTGCTGGCGCTTGTAACGAATCGCCTTGAAAGGGATGCTGAAAACGCGTACTTTTTCACGCTTGGATCGGGCCTCAAGTCACTGGGATACGCCATTGAGGTGGGTTTTGGTGCTGTTAAATCTAGCCTAATGGAAGGCGATTCAGGTTGAATGGGAACCTGGTGAGGCTGAGCGCGGGATGTGTGATTGCGACTTGCTTACGCTCGGGTATGCGAAACTCCGGGATACACAACTAAGGTGGGTCCAAATGCGGTTTCGTCGATGTTAAAAGACGCGATTCAGATGGAGCACGGGGTTGAGTTCGGAGAACGTGGTCGCCGTCTTGTTCACTCTCGGATAGGATGTCAGTTCTCGTCAATTCTAGAAGACGCAATTTAGTTGGATGGGGCACGGGGGTTTGCTTTGAAGCATAGGAAAGGGTCACCTTCCCTCCCCCCTCCCCCTCCCCCCTCCACCCTCCCCCCTCCCCCCTCCCCCCTCCCCGCTCCCCGCTCCCCTTCATCGCTCCCCACTCAATCTTTCTCAAGCTCTCTGCGTTTTCTTGTCGCGTTTAGTAAACCGTTTTCCAATTCCTCGTTCCCACTATCCACCCATCGCTTCCCGCTCCTTCATCCTGCCTCGAATCTCCCGTGTCCCCTCCCTTGCAGGTGATAGCGCAGGAAGGAGGGCCCATGGCGGACGCGTGGAGGGGCCTGGCCGTGCGTGTGACTATAACGGGGCGCCACAACACGAGCCTGAATCACATCGACTGGCTGGAGTAAGCCCTCCCACTCTGCTCATGACTACGCCCCCACATCCCGTTCGAGTCTGTTCCTCGTGATAAAAGAAGTGTTTTGAGACGTCTCTCAAAACACAACACGAGCCTGAATCACGTCGACTGGCTGGAGTAAGTCCTCCCGCTCTGCTCATGACTGCTCCTCCCTTCAGTGTGATTCTCTGTGCCTTATGAGTTTCCTGCTCCGCCCCTCTCTCCTGCCCCTCTCTCCCGCCCCTCTCTCCCGCACCTCTCTCCCGCACCTCTCTCCCACACCTCTCCCGCACCACTCTTCTGCCTTGCAATCCCGCCTTGCTGCCGCCCGTGGGACTTCCTTCCCTTGCGCAGCTACCAGGGAGTTTTGGCGAACTCGTTAGAAGCCACTCCGTTTATAGCCAAGCTGGCCCAAGAACCCTTCACCGAAGTCCCGCTGGTGTGGGTCGTGCACGAGGCTGACGTGGCGGACAGGCTGGCAGTGTACGAGTCCAGTCAGCATCTGCAAGGGCTGAGGCAGCAGTGGGTAGAGCTATTCGCTCGACCTGACGCCCTCGTGTTCCCCTGCATGGCACTTAAAGAACGATACCAGTCCCTGAACACTGGAAACTTCGTGGTAATTCCCGGCTCGCCCACGTGGACGTACGCCGCGACCCGATTCGCCGCGTCGCACTCGCCAGAGTCGGAGCGGGCGGCGCGTCAGATCCCGCCTGACACGTTCACTGTAGCAGTGGCGGGAAACCAGAGGGTGTACCAGGGAAAGTGGCGGGAAAGGGCAATGGCTATGCATGCCGTTCAGTCATTGGTGCAGCCGCCTGGTTTGGGGTGGGGGTCTATATGGGGTTGGATGGTAGGGGATGCTGTGGGAAAGGGAGGAGGGCAGGGCGGAGGAGGAGGGGGAGGAGGGGAAGGAAGGAGGGAGCAGAGAGGAGGTGGGAGAGGGAGAGGAGGGGAAGGGAACCAAAAGGAGCGAGAGGGGGTTTCTGCTGTGGAGCGAGCGCACGTGGTGTTTATGGGAAGCTGGAACACCTCAGGGTCACAGTCGCAGCTGGCGGTGCTTAAGGTGGTAGCGAAGCATCTGCTTATAGCGAATCTGACGTGGGGCGTGGGGGAGGCGGAGGGGGAGGAGGGGATGGGCGTGCTGATGGCGAGTGATGTGGTGGTGTGGAGCTCGGTGGAGGAGGAGAGGGAGGTGAACCCGCTGCTCGTGAAAGCGCTGGCTTTGGGGAAGGTGATTGTGGTTCCGAAGCTGATCAAGATTCGAGCAGAGGTGAGTGGGTGGTTGAGGTGGGCTGTGGGTGGGGGGTAGTGAAGTTGGTAGAGGGTGGGTACTGCTTCTCGAGGGGATGGGCGTGCTGATGGCGAGTGATGTGGTGGTGTGGAGTTCCGTGGAGGAGGAGAGGGAGGTGAATCCGCTTCTGGTGAAAGCACTGGCTCTGGGGAAGGTGGTGGTTGCGCCAAAGCTGATCAAGATCCGAGCAGAGGTGAGTGAGTGTTGGTGGGTGGTGGGTAGTGCCTCTCGAGGGGCGTTGAGAGTGATGTGGTGGTGTGGAGCTCGGTGGAGGAGGAGAGGGAGGTGAATCCGCTGCTCGTGAAAGCGCTGGCGCTGGGGAAGGTGATTGTGGTGCCAAAACTGATCAAGATCCGAGCAGAGGTGAAGGGGTGGGTGGGTGGGTGCTAGTGGTGGGTGGTGGGTGGTGGTGCTGGGTGGTGAGTGCTGCGGCTTGAGGGGTGTCCTATGCTTTTTATAGTAAAACAATGGTGTGAAGCCGCTTGCTATTAGTCGTTGCAGCTTTTGTTCCAAAACTACCTCCTCCATCTTCCCTTCCTCCGCAGCCCACCTGTTTACCTTCGACAGCACCAAAACTACCTCCTCCATCTTCCCTTCCTCCGCAGCCCACCTGTTTACCTTCGACAGCACCAAAACTACCTCCTCCATCTTCCCTTCCTCCACTTCCCTCCCATTCCGGTCCCCCAATCCTCCCACTCCTCCCACTCCCCCCACCCTCCCTTCCCTCGCAGTTGACCAATGGCGTGCATGCTCTTTTCTACGACTCTGGGAAGGAACCTTCCATGAAGCAGGTGCTCCTTAAAGCCGCGTCGCTGTCGCAGTCTGACGCACTTGCCATGTCAGCGTCAGGCCGCGAGCTCTCATTGGCTCTGGACGCGCGCAGCGTGGTTAAGGAGGTAGCGAGGCTCCTAGAGCGGGTAATGGAAGGGGGCGTGGGGATTAGAAGCCCTCGGCCGGCGGATTGGCTGTGGTGGGATAAGAAGCAGGCGTGGATGTGGGGGGAGGACGGTGGGTGGGGGTGGGGAGAGGGAGGGGGGAAGGGAGGAGACGGAGGAGAGGGAGGGAGCTGGGATGTAAGAGAAGGGAGGGAAGAGGGAGGAGTACGGAAGGGAGAGGGAGGATACGGGACGGGAGGTGGGGGGAAAACGAAGGGTGGAGAGGAGGAAGGGGAGGAGGAAGGGGAGAGTGTGGATGTAGGTGGGGGTGTGGAGGAAGGGGAGGCTGAGGTTGTGACGGGAGGGGAGAGTGGGGTTATTGGAGGGAGGAAGGTGATACTAAGGAAAGGTGACTATAAGGGTCGAAGGGTGGGGTTGAAGGAGGGAGGCAAGGAAAAGGAAGGCGAGGGGAGGGTGGTGGGGACCGGAAGAGGAGAGAGAGCAGATGTGGATACGAGCGAGGGTCGGAATAGTGCGACAGAGAGGAGTGAGGGAGGGAGTGAGGGAGGGAGTGAGAGGAGGAGGAGTGTGGTGCTGCAGATGGAGGAGGAGTGGGAGGAGTTGAAGAGAAGGGAAGCGGCGCTGCTGATGGGAGATAAAACGAGGGATAGCATGCTGATGGCCGAAATGGACGGTGCTGAGGAGGCGGTGGGAGGCGGGCTAGCGGGTGAAACAGGAGGAGCAGGAGTTGGAGCAGGCGCAACAGCAGCAGCAGCAGGGGGAGCAGCAGGAGTGGGCGGGGGAGTAGCGGGGCAAGGGGGGTCGGTAACAGAGGCTGACAGAAACGGTGGTGCTGTTGGCGTGGTTGATAGGGTGGGCGGGTCTGGTGCGGTTCTGAGTGGTAGCAAGTCAAGTGCAGCGGTTTCAGGTGCTGCCGCTGCAGCTGCTGCCATTGGGACTGTGGGGGAGGAGAAAGGCAGCGCAGGAGAAAGGACAGGAGGAGGAACAGCAGCAGCAGCAGCAGCAGCAGCAGGAGTGCCTGAGCTGAAAGCACCTGAGGAGCAACTGGAGGCCGATATTGTAAGTCTCTGTGGCTTCAGGTACCATCTTGGTTGCATGACATGTGGAAAACGGTTCGTTTTGAGAGGGTTTCGGGACAGATCTTCTAGCAGCAGCAGCAGCAGCAGCTGAGCTTGGGCTGAAAACGCGTGCGGGGCCAGTGGAGCCGGATAGTGTAAGCCGTTTTCGTTACAAGGCGTTGTCCTGGGTGGGAGGAGAGGAGGTGAAGGTGGGCGTGAAACGATTACCATCTAAGTTACTCCTCTCTACCTCCCTTTCCCTCCTCTCCCCACGCCAGTTGTGGGACCGCAGGGAACATGAATCCCTGTCATGGGAGGAGGTGAAGGTGGGGGTGAAGCGGGCGGAGAGGAGTGGGCTGCATGAGAGGGACGACGGGGACCTCGAGCGATCAGGCCAGCCCATCTGCATCTACGAGCCGTACACTGGGAACGGATCCTGGCCGTTCATTCATGACAAGGATACCCTGTACCGTGGGGTTAGTCTGGTGAGTGTGCACTGGGTGCAAGCAACCTGCCTTGGATTTTATGCAGTCTGTTTGAGGCACCTCAAGAATTGGTCTGATGGATCCTGGCTGTTCATTCACGACAAGGACACCCTGTACCGTGGGGTTAGCCTGGTGAGTGCAGCTGGGTGCAAGTGGGATTCCAGAAGCTTTTGAGTCCTTTCCTACGCACCTCCTTGGAGTGATTCTTGGCAGGGACACGTTGTATTGTGTTGTGGAGTTGCCTTGCTGCGTGAGTGCACGTATGCAACTGAATTGATGTCAACGTATGGGCCGCCTCCTCATGCTCTCCTCCCCACATTCCCGTTCCCCTGCTCCCCCCTCTCCCCCACCCCAACCCCCTTTTCCACTTCAGTCGCGCTCCTCCCGCCGCCCCAACCTGTATGACGACGTGAACGCGTGGGCGCGCCTGCCCATGCTCGCCTCCCCCTACTACCGCGACGTGCTGTGCGACTTTGCAGCCATGCTCGCAATCAACTACCGCATAGACCGAGTCCACAGGAACCCCTGGATAGGCTTCCAGCCGTGGCGGGTCCGGGCGGAGAATGTGGGGTTGAGCGGCGCTGCGGAAAAGGCGCTGGTTGGGACTATAGAGGGCGGGACTGTAGCGGATGCGGTAGTGTACTGGGTGAGTATTGTAGACCAGGTGGAGATTCATAGGGATCCGAGGAGTGCGGCGCTGGGGGAGGATGGGGAGAAGGTGGGGGGAGGGGGAGGGGGAGGGGGAGGCGGAGGCGGAGGCGGAGGCGGGGGGGGGAGGCGGAGGGGGAGGTGCGCGAGAGCATGGGGGTAAGGGTGATGGGGGAGGGGAGACGGGGGTAGGAGTGGGGAAAGCGCGTGTTGGGGGGTTGGAGGAGCGAAGTGGGGATGACTTTTGGACTACATGTGACATGATGAACCGTGGTAACTGCAGGTGAGGAGGGGCGGATGCACCACAAACCGCACGTCAGACACCCACACCACCCCACATCACCCCACACCACCCCACATCGCACTACCCATCACGCATATTTCGTCAGCCGGAGGTGATCACATTCCCCTTGTATGGTCAACACTACCACTCCCATCCAGAACCCTCATTCTGGAGGCGATGAGGCTGGTGTGCTATCTTCCGTCCTATTGGACCACCCTGCCACCAACGGGAAGGAGAAATTCAACCCGCTGGTCCCCGATACTCTAATGCTGAAATCTCTTCCCCATCACCTCCCCTGCAGAGCTGCCTTTCTTGATGCCATGCGGCTGGTGTACAGCCTGCCCTCCAACTGGACCACCCTGCCGCCCATGGAGAGCATGGCCACCCTGGACCACCCTGCCGCCCATGGCCACTGGAGGAGGCACCAGTCCGCCATGCTCTCATGCTGATCCATCTCCCTTCTTTACCCCTTCCAGAGCTGCATTCCTGGAGGCCATGCGCCTGGTGTACAGCCTGCCTTCAAATTGGACCACCCTGCCACCCATGCCCACCGGAGGGGGTACCTGGTCTGCCATGCACGCGTGGGCCATGCCGGCACACAACTTTGTGGAGTTCATGCTGTTTGCGCGGTGAGAGATGGAATCTTGGATGGATGCATGGGCAAGGGAAATGGGAATGAAAGCCTTTCACTGAAAGGGCCATGCCGGCACACAATTTTGTGGAGTTCATGCTGTTTGCGCGGTGAGAGAAGCAGTGAGGGGGCATGTGCGTGCAAGGCGACTTTTGAGTCGACTCAAAAGTCACCTCGGTGAGAGATGGAATGTTGGATGGATGCATGGGCAAGGGAAATGGGAATGAAAGCCTTTCACTGAAAGGGCCATGCTGGCACACAACTTTGTGGAGTTCATGCTGTTTGCGCGGTGAGAGAAGCAGTGAGGGGGCATGTGCGTACAAGGCGTGAGGGAATGAATGAGAGGGATTTCCATGTGCACGTGGGCCTTGCCCTCTCAAAGCTTTGTGGGGTTCCTGATGCCTTTGCATAACTAACGACAACTTTTTGTTTGCCTCTTTCCTGAAACCCACACCTCCCCGTATGTCCTTGCTCCCGCCCCCCCTTCTGTGCTCTCCCCCTCTCTGCCCTCTCCTCTCCTCTGCTCTGCCTTCCTTCCCATATGACCTCTTCCCTTTGCACCGCAACCAGCATGTTCGTTGACGCCCTTGATGTGAAATTCTATCAGAGACACGCGGCCCACGGCACATGCCCACTCGCTCAGAGCCATGCAGAGGTGAGGATTGGTTTGATAGTAATAAAATTCTGAGGCTGATAGGTTCTTTACTGGACGAGAACCTTGGGTTTGAATGTGTCAGAACCTCTATCAGAGACAGAGAAGCAAAGCACAACCTGGTGTGAGTCTGGAAACACCAATGTGTGATCCCTTTGCCAACTCTCCCTGCTGTCGCCAAACAGGAGCGGCACTGCTACTGCCGATTGCTTGACCGACTGGTGAACGTGTGGGCGTACCACAGCCGAAAGAGAATGCTGCTTCTCAATCCCCACACTGGCTCCCTTCAAGAACAGCACCCAGTTCCCACGCGCTCTAGATCCCGCTCCCGGCGCGCCTGGTTCCAATGGTTCTCCCGCCCGGTACTTAAAGCTATGGACGAGGAAAGAGCAGAAGAGACGGACGACCCCGCCCACGCGATCAACGGGCGGCGGTGGCTTTGGCCTCATCTAGGGGAGGTGCAGTGGCAGGGGTCGATCGAGCGGGATAGAATGTTTAAATTGTGGCAGAAGGGGCAGAAGGAGAGGAAGAAGAAGGAGAGGCTGGCGCGAATGAGAGTGAGGTATAAGCAGGAGGCGTTGGGAGGGCCTGTGGTGAAAACATTGGGGGAGGTTGGGGGCGTGGGGGGGTTGGGGAGGAATGGGAGTGTTGTGGAGAGTGGGGAGGAGGGGAAGAGAGGAAGTGGTGGTGACGGCGGCAGTGACAGGGAAGTCGGTGTAGGCAAGAAGAGTAGCAGCAGCAGTAGCAGTGACACGGCTCAGGAGGAGGGTAAGGAGGACAGTGATACAAGATGACAAGAGAACAGCGGAACATGGGGCACAGCAGGAGTCCGATGGACCGGTGTTTAATGGCCGCTAGATATACTAATCTTACTTTTAGTTTTACATCGCTGTTGCTTGAAATGCCACATAAATTCCTGATGGTGCATGGGTGGTGTGCATGTCATTCAATTGTTTAGGATGTTAATGATTCTAGTAGCTGAGCGCACATGCCCCTAGTATTTTTTCCTGATTTGCATTACTGCACTGGAATGTAGCTTATTGAACTCTAAGCTGAAAGCAGCTATTGTGAAGTCATCATTTTTCGTAATGTACAGCAAGCTCACTAATGATGTCAAAGGGAACGCGGATTTGTGTGAACGGAACTAATTGGTGATTATAGATTGCATATGTAAGAGTTGAAATGTGAGGTTGTGGGAAGTCATGGTGGAAGAGACTGTTTTCGTGGCTCTGACTCCATGTGACAACACAGGGCTCGTGGTTGGGTCTTCTGAGTTCAAAGGCCGAGGCGGCAGATTGGATTCGATTTGATCAGCTTCAGGTCAACCTGGAGCGGTGAGGAGTGGTGGTGGGGGGTGATGAGAAGGGTCAGAAGGGAGTTGGAGGAGGAGGAAGCGAGAAAGTGCATGAGTAAACGAGAGGCAGGCACAAGTGGTGAAAGAGAGGCAGGCACAAGAATCGGAAAAGTGCACGAGCTCTAGAGAATCAAGCTTAAGCCGGAACGCTGAAACCAGTGCTATCAAGTGCTTTAAGGTGCTTCAAAGATTGACAGATTACCACCCCTTATTCTCTCACTCTCACCTTATGACCAAAGAGATCACGGATGTTGTCAATGTGATACAGGATCATAGTGGGTCTGTTTGTAAGGGGGTAAGACAGAGGCAAGGAGAGATGGAGGGTGAGCAGGGAAAAGGCCCAAGACAATGACAGCGACGTCAGGCAGGAACCCTATTGGCGCTGCAGCACTTGTGTTGGCATCTCTGGTCTACTTCCAGTGCGATTCAGTGCGATCTAATGTGTTTTGTGGGTTCAGTGCAGTTCAATGAGTCTCTTGTCTCACTGTTCAAGGGACAGGCCCCAGGCTTTGACAGAGACGTCAGGGGGCAATCTCATTGGCTGCAGCATCCCACGATAACATCTCTAGTCTAGTTCCAGTGCAATTCAGTGTGGTTGAATGAGTCCTCACCGTTCAAGGGACAGCCCCCAGGCAATGACAGAGACGTCAGGGGGGAGGCCCATTGGCTGCAGCATCTCAGGGCGGAACATGCCGCTGTTGCCCACCTCCACCCACTTCTTTAGCTGCTCGTGGTAGCTGCGATGGTGAGTGGGGAGGAGAGGAGGGGGGAAGAAACAGAAAACGCATGAATGCTCAGCTGTGAAAGAAGAGAAGAAGCATCTCAGGGCGGAACATGCCGCTGTTGCCCACCTCCACCCACTTCTTCAGCTGCTCGTGGTAGCTGCGGTGGGGGGATGGGGTGGGGAGGGGAGAGGGCAGGTTAGGTTGATAGGTATGGAGAACAAGACGAGTCGAGCCGGAACATGCCGCTGTTGCCCACCTCCACCCACTTCTTCAGCTGCTCGTGGTAGCTGCGGTGGGGGGATGGGGTGGGGAGGGGAGAGGGCAGGTTAGGTTGATAGGTATGGAGAACGAGACGAGTCGAGCCGGAACATGCCGCTGTTGCCCACCCCCACCCACTTCTGGAGCTGCTCGTAGTGGTGGTGGTGGGGGAGAGGAGGCGGGTGGTCAGGTTAGGTTGACAGGTATGGAAGAGGTTATGAGGGCGACCGTGTTTTTGAGACGTCTCGTGTAGCAAGGGTGTTTTTGAGACGTCTCAAAAACAGCATGGAAGAGGTTATGAGGGCGACCGTGTCGTGTATTTTGAGGCGCCTCAAAATACACCTCACTGCACGCGGATGGGGGTGGTCAGGTTAGGTCGACAGGCATGGAAGAGGTTATGAGGGCGACCGTGTCGTGAGAGAGCAGCAAGGGCACCTGGAAACTCACCTTGCCCCACCATCAGAACCCACCTGACGGCCACCCTGAGACTCACCTGAAGATTTCCATGCTGGGCTCGGTGTAGGGATTGTATGCAGGCTTGAAACGCAGGCGAGTGATACCTTATGGGGGATAGAGAAGAAAGGATGGAAGAGGGAGCGGGGAGGAGGGGCGGGGAGGGGAGGGGGGTAGAGAGTGACTCTTGAGTCGACACAAAAGTCACCTTGTAGGGGTTGTAGGCAGGCTTGAAACGCAGGCGCGTGATACCTTATGGGGGGGCGGAGAGGAGAAGGGGGACGGAGAGGGAGGAGAGAGGAGAAGGGGGACGGAGAGGGAGGAGAGAGGAGAAGGGGGACGGAGAGGGAGGAGAGAGGAGAAGGGGGACGGAGAGGGAGGAGAGAGGAGAAGGGGGACGGAGAGGGAGGAGAGAGGAGAAGGGGGACGGAGAGGGAGGAGAGAGGAGAAGGGGGACGGAGAGGGAGGAGAGAGGAGAAGGGGGACGGAGAGGGAGGAGAGAGGAGAAGGGGGGCGGAGAGGGGGTAAGCCTGTAAGGTGCCGTAAGGTGCAGTAGGAATGAATATTGATTCAACGTGGCAACATGAATGAGGGACCAACGAGTGAAGGAGGGAAAGAGAGCGAAACGGGAAGGAGGAGGGAAGTGGGGGAGATGCATCTTCCCTCCTCCTTAGATGCAAACGGAGGAAGATGTACTCTTAGAGCAGCCCAGAGAGGGTAAGGAGCTGGGGGGGCGAAGGCACTCTGGAGAATTGCCGTGTCTGGCAAAGATCTGACTGAGCACGCCTTTGAGGTCTCCCAGATTTGAGACGTCTCAAAACTAAAAAAGCACCGAGTCTCACCCATATTTGAGGCTCACCGAGTCTCGCAAAGAACTGGTTGAGCACGCCTATGAGGTCGCCGAGAGTGGTACCCCGGTCACAGATCACACCTGAGAGAGAGAGGTGGGGTGGGGGGATGTAGATGGACGGAGGGAGGGCAGAGACGGAGGAGAGAGGGGCCATATGGAGCAACTCAGAAGAATGCGAGACGACACCCCAACTTAACCACCCAACCGTTGCACACCCTTTTCAGCCCACAACCCCAACCCCCCACTCGCAGCTGGTACAGCATGCACGACGACACCCAGCCCAGCCCACCCACCCAACCGTTGCACACCCATCCCAATCCCAACCCACCTTCGATTTGGTGGAACTCTGCCAGGTGAGTGCGATCCACGGCCTCATTCCTAAACACCCGGTCAATGGAGAAGTACTTGCGCGGCTGGAAGCCCTCCTGCGCCAGCCGGTACAGCATGCGAGAGGACACCGAACCCACCCACCCAACCGTTGCACACCCATCTCAACCCCAACCCACCTTCAATCTGGTGAAATTCCGCCAGGTGCGTCCTGTCGACTGCTTCATTCCTAAACACCCGGTCGATCGAGAAGTACTTGCGAGGCTGGAAGCCCTCCTGCGCCAGCTGGTACAGCATGCGGGAGGAAACCGCGGTGGTGTGTGTGCGCAGCAGGTTCTTCTCTGCTTCCGCCCGCTTCCAGTCGTATCCATAACCAGTGGAGCCATGGCCCCCTGTCTCGTGCATCGTTTTCACGCGCTGCAGGTAGTCCTCTGGCAGCTCCTTCGTTGCAGCGGGGGCTGCAGCCGAAATCAAGGGGAAACACAGGGAGAAAGGCACATGACTGGGGGGTGTGTACGGGAAAAGAAAGGCATGGGGAAGAGGGGGGGAGAGGGACACCGCCGTGGTGTCGGTGCGCAGCAGGCTCTTCTCCGCCTCTCCTCGCTTCCAGTCGTAACCATAGCCAGTTGAGCCGTGTCCTCCTGTCTTGTGCATCGTCTTCACGCGCTGCAGGTAGTCCCCTGGAAGCTCCTTTGTTGCAGCGGGGGCTGCAGGGGGGAACAAAGTGGGGGTTTGGGGAACGGGGTGGATGTGTGTGTGTGTGTGTGTGTGTGTGTGTGTGTGTGTGTGTGTGTGTGTGTGTGTGTGTGTGTGCGTGTGTGTGTGTGTGCGTGTATGTGTGTGCAGCAGGTTCTTCTCTGCTGCGGCTGGAAGGTCAGAGAGGACCTTGACTTGGTGTGTGTGTGAGGTAAGCTCCGCGTGAGCTGAGACGATTTTTGAGGCGCCTAAGAAAAACTCTTCTCTGCTTGCGGCTGGAAGGTCAGAGAGGACCTTGACTTGGTGTGTGTGTGAGGTAAGCTCCGCGTGAGCTGAGACGATTTTTGAGGCGCCTAAGAAAAACTCTTCTCTGCTTGCGGCTGGAAGGTCAGAGAGGACCTTGACTTGGTGTGTGTGTGAGGTAAGCTCCGCGTGAGCTGAGACGATTTTTGAGGCGCCTAAGAAAAAACTATCCTCTGCTTGCGGCTGGAAGGTCCGAGAGGACCTTGACTTGGTGTGTGTGTGAGGTAAGCTGGTCCCTTTTGTGCATTGACTTGGTTTCAAGTCACGTACCTGTGAGGAAGAAGGTATCATGGGAGTCCCGGGCGGGCAGGGTGCTGCTGCTGCGGCTGGAAGAGCTGAGAGGGGTGTGTAACACACTTAATTACATCAGCGTACCTGTGAGAAAGAAGGTATCGTGTGAGTCTCTGGCGGGGTGCTGCTGCGGCTGGAAGAGTGCGTCGAAGTTCCAGAAGCTGCTCTCCACAAAGTTGTTGGTCGGCATCTCTTGGAAGCTAGCGAGAGCGGGGAAAAAAGGGGGGAACGGGAGGAAGGGGAGGGGAGAAGGGAACAGGGAAGTCAAGGACTGGGCCTTTCAGAAAACAATTTGACGGCATGGTGAAGGGGGACAAAGGAGGGACCTGGGAAAACAGGATACATGCAATGCCTTTAACACTTCAAACTTGGAACAAGAAACTCGGCACCATTTCCTTTAGCTTAAACGTCCAAGCTCACCACATTTTACAGAAGACCTTCCAAACTTGAGCAAGGACTAATACGTGTAACTAATGCTGCTGCTCTGTTACCATAACTCACCCCATCTCGAGAAAGATCTTGCGGAACTGGGCGCGC